GCTTTTTCTTTACAGCTGGACCTCGCCATAGAGGTAAATCGTCATTTTCTCGCAAACGAGTATGGTGACCTATCATTTTTTTCTGTTGTTTTGCATTGAGTAATAAATTTCTCTTTGTACTATAAATAAGGACCAATTCTCAGTGTAGAACAAAAAGCAATCGTCGGAAACGTGAATTTAGCAAGCAATCGTAACCACAATCATGGTGCTATTATAAGGATTTATATGGGTACAAACAACGTGCTTTTGCTCCTAAACGAACATGGCGACCCCTCATTTTTATTTCAAAATTTAAGTTCCTATAATATAAACAATCGATAGGCAAAGTTTCACAAAAATCTCAGTGCAGGTTCTATTTCAGCGGAATGACCTTAAGTCAAAATACTTAGTTGTCCACAGTTTCACGTGTTAATTTATTAAGAAATTACCTGAGATCTTCTTGTATAAATATCCCCCTTTAAGCTGCGTGCCAATCCAAAGTCAGAAATTTTGCAGACTTTGTTCTCACCTACCAATACATTGCGAGCGGCTAAATCACGATGGACAACCTGAAATACGTTGGAATAAAGCAGGCTTTGTGAAAATTTCAAAGACGAAGATCAGTTGCCTTTACCGTTGTTAAATTTGTTTTTCTAAATCTGGTATTATTTCAGGACATAAAACGAAGCAGTATGGGGCATTTTCACATAACGTCACGACGGCCATGTTGCCTGTGAGCCCAAACAATGAAATGAAATGTGAATTTTTCTGTTATAAAGGCTTTATACCAGATGACTCAATTTATTTGCTGACTTTACAGTGACGTTGAAAATCTTCGGGTTTCCTCTATTGATTTTGTGAAAATTATCGAGTTATTTTCGGCGGCCGTGGACTTTTCCAATCGACTGACTGTCTCCTCTCGCCCCTATGGCTATTCCAGGCAGCTAGAACTCCATTTAATTTCAATTTACGAATTTTTTATTCTGCAGATCAATAATTTCAAGTACTTAAATACAAGTACTTCGAAGATGTCGAAAACTTAAGTGGAGCCACGTCTTGATTGCGAGGGTTTCATCAAAATGTTTTGGGCACTTTGTATTATCACGTCTGTGGTCCACAGGAGTGTGGTAAAATGTAGTCAAGTTCGTGTTTTTTTTTTTGTTTTTTTTTTTTCACAATAACACCGAGAAGCTACCATCCATTTAGGAGAAAATAAGTGCAAATGGCGCGCGGGGATAGCTCGTCAATCGTCTTAAGATGACTACGAGGTCGTGGATTAATCTCCGGTGAAGTTTTGCCCTCGAATAGCACAAATTAGTGAAAACTGGCTTCTGTTCAATCCAGTCAGAACTCGCTAATTTTGCGCTTTACCTGTAAGTTACAAGTCTAAAACTTTTAAAAAGCGCTCCCTTATAGCAGTAACAGCTAATAGGGTAAATGACGATGGTATACCTTCATCGCTGCTAGATAGCTCATACCATCAGCTATCATCCAAGCAAAAGATAGCAAATCCTTTTCTTGCAGTTTTGAATTTGGCCTCTTTTCTCCTGAGTTGTATGTGTCCTCGTGTCCTCTGCTCTTGCGCAGGTATCCAAGCAAATCCCCGTATGGTAAATACTCCAAAACAATCAACAGCGGAACTTAAATTTGAATAATTCGAAATTAAAACTACAATTATTTACGTGAAGAAAATAACTGTAATTATATACACAACTTAAGCAGCTGTGAAATAAAGCTCGAAAACAAGCAAAAAACAACAACAACAACAACAAAACAAACAAACAAACAACAACAGCAACAACAACAACAACAAAAAACTGTGAGCTGGTCACGTTGTGAGTTCGTAATATGCCCGTAGATGATGAAGATACAAGTGAGTATATGAAAGAACATATATTTGAACTGCGGAGAAAGATATGAAGACATGATTGATCACCGCAGCTATATTCTCAACTTAAAGCAGTCGTGAAATTAAAGCCTGAAAAAAATTAATATTTCTGGAAGTTAAGTGGATGGCAGTTGAGTGTAAACCATAAATAAATAAATAAATAAATAAATAAATAAACTGGAAAATGGGGTTGAAATGAGACTCTCAAGTGCCATCTACCACAATTTATTTTTGAAAACTCTAGAACATCTTCAAGCTGTAATCCCGACACTTTTCTTTTCTACAACTACAGAAAAAAAAAATAATGATAAAAAAAATGGTGTTTAGTGATGGCATGGCAGGCATGTACCAAAAACCTGTAGCATGAAATACGCATCCTCGTAGACCCAGGGCCAGTTACCAGAGTTGGGGAAAGTCAAAACGGCGCGAAAAAAACAATTGGTCGGGTAAGAAAGGTGAGAGAGAAAGCGAACACGACTTGGGGCTGAGTTCTTATCGCGCCAGTTCAAAAAAGCTCTATGAATGATGCCTCCTGATTGGGCAGAAAGGCCGAAACCCGCTCTTATACCAAGCCTACACAAAGTCAAGTTCGTTCACCACATTTGTTTTAGAAGTTTGTCTAGATTGTACTCGTCGGATTTCTAGACAACAGACACAACACGAGGGAGTTCTAAACGTTTTCCTAAATAGAATTACGGAAACACAGCCAAGTCTTTGTTCTTACTCTATATAAGCCCAACACTATCTAGATGGTTGGCCTGTAAGTTCATTCTACTGAAACACAGACTTTTCTCTTAATGTCAATAATTAGGTAAATTATTATTAGCTGTAAATTTTTATTTAAACTAGATTAGATCTTACATTGTAAATTTTTTAATTCTTATTTTGTAATTATTCTGTATTGTTTATTTACACACGACCCCGCAAGCTGCAAGCTTAACTACTTATCGTGTTTAAATAAAGGTTACTTACTTACTTACTTAATACCGCACATGCATAACCAGTTACTTTATTCTCTCAAAATCGTCTATGTACACGACACCTACATGACCAGCATCTCATTAATCATTAATTCAATGGTTATCACTTTATAAAAAAACAAGTGGTCATTGATAAAATTAGTTTCCGTTTGCAGTAAAGCCGTGAAGCGTTGCTAATAACGTGATTTCAATTTTAATTTGGACTAAGTGTGCCGGTGTTTATGTTAAGAAATTTTGCGAAGAAAGGGGAAAATAAAAAGGCGTCTGAGTGTGTTGGATAAAAAATGATCAAACGATATCCTGTATATAATTTAACTGATATTTGGAAGCCTTGTATTTGGCAAGTATTCATCGAAATGCTTCTGAATTCGATCATCTGATTAATTTTAGGATGTTCTATCGCATAACCGGTTTCTTTACGATAAATTCGTGGAACTCTTTTCAGACAGCTTATTCCGCAAAAATGTCGCGACCAGCGCGCAGTAAAACGGCCCATGTAACTACTTTTGACGCAGACATGTCGCGTCTAGCCTGCGGTTAAACGGCCCATGTGCTTACGTTTGACGCAAAAATGTCGCGAACTGTCTCTGGAACATCAAACAACCGCGTGACGAAAACATGAGATGACACACGTACAAGATCTAAGTAAACGCTCCTTAATAACTAAAATTCGAGAATGTTGACCTAATAATTTTGCGCATCATTTAAGGATAATCAGCTTAGTTCTTCCGACGACGTTTTCTGGTCTCAAGTGCCACGATGAGAGTTTAACGTTATTAAAGGGTATTTTGGACAGATTTAACATACAAATCCAACTTACTCAGAGAATTTCTATTCACGTGGAGAATTCTAAAGGTATAATAACAAAACAATGTCCAAAATAACAGTAACACAACAACAAGAATGTATGATCAAATGAAAAGGCTCAAAATCAGGAGGCAAGTTAATACAAGTTCGCAGGGTACGCTAAACAGGCATTAATGAAAGAACTAGATTATCCAGGGATGTTCTGTTGACTAATTACCAAGGTCTCACAGTTAGAACAATTCAACATCCAGATGTCATGATGTTGCATTTCTTAAAGTAAACTTTATAAAATAAAATGTTTGTTGGTTTGTCGTGTACAGTGCATCTCTAGCCAGAATATTTCGAGCAGTTTTTCATTTTATCGTGTCTATATTTTTGTTTACGTACAGATCGCTTTTCTACCTAGTAACTCGCGGATAAAACCTTTAAACTTCTTAGCCAACCCGCTAAAATGAAACTTTCAACATACAAAGATCGAAGGAGATCACATAATTCAAACTAAAGACATTTACAAAGGCTTATGCGGTTTGCTCGTTTGTTGTTGTTTTTTTTTTTT